GTGCCTGCGCAAGCCAGGGATCTTGGGTTGACTGGGGGGGGGGGGGAGTGTAGTATCAGGATTCTATTAGGGGCGTTGTCTCTCTCTCCTTCTCCCTCTCTTCCTCTCTCTGCTCTTCTCTATTTTTCTCACTCACTGAAGAAATAAATAAATACACTTTTAAAGGAAGAAACAACCGCAAAGTCTATGCCCATATACCCTGCCTTCGCTCCTCTTACTAAGACGAACCATCCTTGCTCTGCCTGACTCATGTCCTCTGGAGCCTTGGATCCCAACCCTTCTCAAATGCTCAAGGCGTTGTTCCAGCAACTGTCCCCCGATTCTCCTCCATCAATTTTGTCCTCTCCATGACATCCTGTACTAACCAGGCAGCATAACCCACTCCAGCTATAGACTCACAATTCACCTCAAACCCAATCACGTGCAGACTGTCTCTGATCCTTCCCCTCCTGTTCTCTCTTAAACCCCTCAAGAAGGCTTTCCCTCTGATGAAGCTTGTCAGCGGCACTGGGGTCACGATGTGGCTCAATCTCATGGTTTTTCCCTCAGTCCTCATCCTGTTCTCAGCAACTCTGGACACAGTTGATCTCTCATTTTTTCCAGATGGTAAATAAAAATTATAGAAGGCCATCGACCAAAATGGAGTCACTTACGCTAAAATGTCACATCATCAGACTGAAACTTTAAAGAAGTTGACAGATCCCCCAAACAGACCAAGTTTTCCTGGAAACAGGAGATTCCCGCCCAAGTCCATGCTGTGAAGAAATAAAACGTATGCACGTTTCCTGACTTTCTTAGGAATGTGCTCCAGAAATAGCTCAAGACGCTGCCTGAACCCACTGGGCTTTTTGTCTTACGGAGATTCTTGCTGACCAGATACTCCCGTCTTTTACATTTCAGATCACTGCCTCCACACTTCACTTAATTTTAAGCAAACTGACTTCAGGTGACCATCCTGTCATTCTGCTCCTCTGATCCAGCCACTGCTCCACAAGACTCCTTGCCACTCCCCCCTCCCATTTGCAGTTGAAATCGGCAAGGCATCGGTCCATGTTGGTGGACTGATTTTCTGGTGTCCCAGCTATCCCACTCTCCCACCTCCCAAAATCTTTGTTTCACTTTCTTTGCCTCAGCCTTCCCTTTTTTTTTTTTTTTTTTTGGAGAGGATTTTTCTATAGGACGCGTGCACTCGCCAGGCAGACAGAGAGAGACAGAGAGACAGAAAGCGAGAAATTACTCCCCAGGGGGGATGGCCATGCCGCAATCCCTTCTCCTCCATTCTCCTCTTGGGATCTTGGGCACGCACGCACACGCGCCCGGCGTGAGTTTTAAGGCACTGGGTCCGGGATGCGAACCGCAGTCAACTACGTGGGAGTCCAGCGACATAGCCATTACGCTAACTGCTGGTCCCCAGCCTTCCCTTCTTAGGTCAACACCGAAACACCTTTCCGTGGCTTCTAGAAGCCCACTTTTTCTTGGTTTTCCTCTGCCTCACTGCCTTCTGTCCCCTTTGTTGGTTCCTCATCATCTTTTAAACCTTTAGACTGTGTCCTGTCCTGGGATAGCTCTTCTCTCTGCTTACCCTCTAGCGACCTCCTTTACTTCAAATGCCATTCAACTTCTGATAACTTCAACATTTATTTGCCCGTCCAAACCTCTCCCCTGAGTTCCTGACTACATTTCTATCAGTTTACTCACCATGTCCACGTGATGTCTAATAGGCATCTCGAATTTAACATAAGGAAAACTGAACGACTCGTGCGCCCCAGCCTCCCGCATCTGACGCACCTCAGTGATTGACAGTCCTACCCTCTCGTTCTTTTCACTCAACAAACATCTACTGAATAGCCTACACCAGAATTTCACAGACGCACTGGGGAGCAGAGGCAACTATGACACAGCTGTCTTTCAGAGACACCCTTTGGGGACCATACACTGAGGAGGAGCACTGGTTTCAGAAGGGCAAATCAGGACAGGCCACAGACTCTCCAGGAGTGGTGTGGCCTGATTTGAGCTGTGAGGCTAAGGAGAAATGACCTTGGTCCAGCTGCAGTGGTGCAAGTGGTGGTAGACTGACCTGCAGTGCTGGAGGCCACAACGCTGACTGGTTGGAGATCCCCAGCTGACCTGAACATGCTGGCTGCACAAACGCCCGAGACCCTGATGAGCTGAAAGACTGGGGAAAGGAGATGGCACACTGACAGGGCACTGCTGAGGGTGCTTCTCTCTCTGCCTCTCATGCACTCTCTCATGAAATAAATAAAGTCTCTCTGTGACTGGCCAACTAAGACCAGTTGCTTCTTCTCATGGTCAAGCAAACAAGAAGCAGAGGCCGGAGAAGAGGGAATTTATTTCCGTAATCCGGTACAGGAGGCAGTCAGCAAGCACCATCAAACTGTCTGGAAAAGCGCAGCATGTTCTCAGTATTTATAGGCACAAGATACAAGCAGGTGCAAACCATTCCTTTCTACCATCAGAGTCAATCCCTTTCCCTGAGTCATTGTCCTGATTCCTTCAAGTACCTATTCCTGGTTTACCCTCTGACCATTCCTCAAAAGATCTCCCGATGACTCAGCACTCAGTCAGCTTGTTCTTGTTAGAGACCTTTTTCAATTTCAAAATGGCTGCCATCCTGCTGGCTAACCCTCCGGGGTGGGGTGATTTCTCACTTTCTGTCTTTCTGTCTCTCTCTCTGTGTCTCTCTGGTGAGCCTATGTGCCCTATAGCAAAAATCTCTCTTAAAAAATAAATTTTAAAAAAAAATAGATGTGCTTTAAAAAGAAAAGAATATTGGGAAATTTTTTAAATTAGAAAATATAGTCATGAGAAGAAGGTACAACATTCAATTGAATTTAAAAGATATAAATTATAACACTTCAGAAATTACACTTGTAGTTCAGCTACTTCAGACTAAGCCCCCATACCATTTGAAGGGCATGTATTTATCCTCCACTGCCATTTACAGATTTGTCTGAAAAAGCGTGAGAACCCCTCACTTCATGGATGGGGCTCTAGAAGCTTGCTCATGAGCAGAATCAGAACTGAGCAGGAACTTCTTTTTATTGCCAGAGGGCATGCGCACTTTCCAGAGAAAGAGTGAGAGAAAGCATCCCCCAACGGGGCATGGTCATGCCTCAAGCCTTTTCCTCCATTTATCCATCCTGTCAGGATTTGGGAGACACACACACCTGCACCTGGCATGTTTTTCAAGCCACGGTGATATGGATTTGAACCACAATTGGCCATGTGAGATACTCCCGCTGCACAGTGCTTAACTATAACACGACAGAACCACTCCCAGATAGCAGCTTTATAGGACCTGGGAAATGAAAGAAGTTCTAGAGAATGCAAGGTTCATAAATTGTGTGTTTTATGGCAAGGGGGAACTTGTACTCGAGAGAGACAGAGACAGAGACAGAGGAAGAGGAGAACATCACACTGCAATCCCTTCTCCTCTTTGTCTCTCTCTCTCCTCTTGTAGTAGGCAGTTAGCTAGTAATGAGAGGGCAGCCCTAAGAGAATAGCAGAAGGACAAATGTCACATCAATCACAATTTATCAGGAGTTACCACCAGACCCTCCATCAGGTGCCTTCTTCCCACCCAGCTCCTGGTGCCAGGAAGGAGAGGCAAGTACTGTTTTCTTCCTCTGTACCTGAGGAAGACACATAGGGATGACTGTAAATTTCTCTCTTATCATTCCTCATAAATACAAAAAGACCCAACCAGACATTTTGGTCAACATTGATTCCCACTGGGGCAATAAACTAATTAGGCAGTCTATCCTAACTAGGCATCAGGGCTCACACTGGGCATGTGCAGTTAGGTTATCAAATTCCTCAGATTCTTCACCTGTGAGAGAGATGTGCAAGCAAGTGCAGAAGAAAGCCTTCTAATTCAAACAAAGGGCACAAATAATATGACAGACCTCCCACTATTAAATATTTATGATCACCTCTGATAATAAAAATAACACCTAAACCAGTTCCAAACACAGCAGGTGCTACCTAGCAACCTGCCTGCCCAAAAGTCTTTTGGGTGTACTTCTTTTCTAAAATCTTTCTTTTCTACTAAATTCTCTTTCCTACCTACTATTATTGTGGTTTTGGCTTTATTTTCCACCTAGGGACAGGTCTCTAATTTTAATGATCTGGACTCAAAGAACCAAGGACTTCACAATGTAGCTCAGCACTCTTCTATCCTATGACACGCTCAGTGTTTTGGGCACACATGCACATGCACCTGGCTTGTTTTCCAAGCTGCAGGGTCTGGGACTTGAATTGTGCAGTTGACCATGTGGGACCTAGCTGCCTTAACCACTAGGCCATGGAGCCAACCCTGGTTCATAAATTTTATCTAACCTAAGGGATGCATGAGTTTGAGGCCTTGGTTACACCCCACAGTCATAAATGTTATTGATCAAAAGGTGTATTACAGCTAGAGTTTACAACGAACTATAAGTTCCTGGCCAGATGATTGCTTAAAGGCATGGTTTAGTTTATGTACACGAACTCATGAGAGATTTGCAGTGCAAATTTTTACCATAGTGTTCCTGGAACTCATGATATAAGGAATGGTGTAGAGCCAGTCAGTTCTTCTGTCATTTCACTTGGACCAATGTGAATTAAAAAAAAAAAAACTATTATTTTAAATTTTATTACCATTTGAAATTTGATTAGAGAGCGGGGGAAAGTGAGAAAGCAAGCTGCTAGGCCCAGTACTCAAACCACAGTCAACCATGTGGGAGTCCACTGCCTTACCACTACACCACCTGCTGGCCCCACAGTGTGAGTTCTTGACAGCTTGTAAGTTCCCTAGTTCTTGCTTGCCCTTCCTTCTTTGTTACGTAAACTAGCCTTTTGGAAGCTATTTTAGTGCTAAACAACTAGAATCTGTGTTACCTGGGCCTGTCCTCAGCCCTGGGCTCAGAAAAGCTTTCACTTCACTAGTGCTTCAGCTTCCTTTCACGCTGACAAACCCATCCTCAGCCAGGGGGCAGTCATAGGCCCTTTCCAAGTCTCTAAATCAACCTCAATGTTTATCATTTTGTGTCCTTTCCTTAGAAAAGGCTCCAAATTGCCTAAGAGGTGAACCACACAAACTTGAGTCTGTCCCGGCTGGAGGGCATTGTGGTTCTGTGTGTGGGAGCATGGATTAGCAGGTTAAATCTTCTAAACCAGGATCTAAGACTTGTCTCGATTGACTCCATTTCTTCTGCCGCCTTGTCGGTAACACCAAGGCTCCCTGACTAGTAGGTGTGCTGCAGCCATTGAAAGCGTTCTTCTTAATGTTAAGTCAGAGCTCTTTGTGTCTTGCTGGACCAGTTCTAAATATCAGCCAGATGGCAGTGGGCGCTTTGGGGCAGTGGGTCCTCCCCACACCTCTGAAATCAGCCTGGCCACCAAAGCCTCCCAGTTACACTTCGTCATTTTTTTGCAGGTTTCAGGGCATCTCCGTTCCCTCCTGAAAACCCCCTCTGGCCACTAATCCTCTGACTAGCAAAAGGGTTCAAGTTTGCATGCTGTTTTATTAATTCTGCAGCCCTGGGAAGAACAGAAACAGAAACAAGGGCTGGCCATTATCAGGGTCTTAATTAGGCCCGGCTCTGCCCAGCAGGGTGCCACTTGCATAGACAATATGACCCCATTGATATTCATGAATTCAAAAATAGAAGCTGTCCCAGTGTGGAGGTTTTCCCTTCAAGACCCCACAAGCTTCATAAAAGAGACTTTCTCCAGGCCTGTTTCCACTGCTTAGAAATAGAGGGGTGGCCCCAGGAAACTAGGGGGCCTGGCTGGAAAGTTTCCTGATTTTTCTCTAGGTGCACAGACTGTGGCTTAGCAGTGTGGGCTGAGACTGTGTGTGTATGAGTGTGTGTATGAGTGTGTGTGTACATACATTCCAGCTTTAGAATCTTCTGATGTAAGATTCCATGAACGTGAAGTTTGGCCCAAATATTCTTCGGAGGACCCCTTCCTTCCATATACTGTCATTATTCTGGTGGTCACAAACTCCATCGTAAGGAAGGAAACGGTATTTTAGATAGAAAGCATCCTATTCTGTCTTCAAGGCAGTGGCCTGCTTCTTTGACGATGGTGAAGCCAATTAATCAGCCCTTGCATCCCTCTCTTCCATAGGCCCTTTCCAACCTCTAAATCAACCTCAATGTTTATCATTTTGTGTCCTTTCCTTAGAAAAGGCTCCAAATTGCCTAAGAGTCGGAGCCATGCAAACTTGCATCTGTCCCTGCTGGAGGGCATTGTGGTTCTGTGTGAGAGAGCATGGATTAGCAAGTTAAATCTGCTAAACCAAGATCTAAGACTTGTCTTGATCTACTCCATTTCTTCCAGAGAACTAAACCTGGTCACTCCACCTGGGAAGGAAACTACCCCTCAGGCAGTGATTGCTCCCTTCACTCCCACACCTCCCTGCTGCAGGGCCTCCTTGTGATCCGGCCTGAAGACAATGAGCAGCCCTCCTCATCATTCTGCACCAAGACGATGAATGACCTGACCTTTGTTTCTAGATGGTCCATACACTGACCCCCTCCCTTATGCAAGGTTTGTATTTTGGGTGGTACAGCAGAGATGGTTGTGGGCTGCGGTCTGCCCTCTCTCCAGTGTTGGCCTCACTGAATAAATTCCTTTTCTTATTCACCAACTCTTGTCTCTTCATCAAGCAGTGATTGGCATGGACCAGATTTCTGGTTTCCCCAAACAAGCATGCCTGTTGATTTGGGCTCACTTAGACAATACAATATCACTGAGAGTAGGTACTCTTTCTTTCTTTCTTTCTAACATGGTAAGTTCATTTATTAAATTAATTAAGCCACATGCTTATCCATACAGCTGTACATAGTCTATTTAAGGAGTATGTATCAAATACCTCTCTTTAACCTGGGGGAGGGGGGATGTGGCAAGCAAGGGGCAAGATAGCAGTCATGTGAGCCTTCATGGAGCTCAGAGATTGAGAGACCAACTGAAGCACTTGTCCTACTAACCCTTCTCACCGTCTCATCCCCTAGTGCTCCCCCTACCCAACACATCAGGATGGTAACGTAAGGCAGGGTAAACACACTTACTCTGGCACTTCTCCAAAGCCTTCCAGAGGCTGTGCTTCAGCAGCATAGATCTTGGCATAATGTCTGGCTGTGTTTTGAACATAGCACTCCTATATCACCCAAAAACATGGAAAATCCAAGTGATTAGAAGACAAAGCATTACTTGGTAAGACTATTCAAAATTCCCACTATAGGTCAAGCCAACGGATTACCAAATCTGTGCCCTGGTTGGGGTCACAAAAGCAATGATTATTGCAACCTAGACTGGGCCACTTACAGAGGAGCTCTGATTCATGAAGGGTCAAGTGGTCTCCAGGGTCAGGTGTCCCATAACTAGGAAAGTTCTAGGACAAACATGGTTGAAGTTCACCTCTGAACATCAGATAATGTGTGAGCCCTTCTGGGATTCCTGTGAGATCTCACATTGTGATTCCTTTTCAAAAGTGTAATTTGAGGGATGTAATTTGATGACATAATGGTTACACCACTGGACTCCCACATAGTCGACCACGGTTATAGTCCCAGACCCAGCAGCTTGAAACTCACTCTGGACGTGTGTGCGTGCGTGCCCAAGATCCCAAGAGGAGAATGGAGGAGAAGGAATTGTGGCATGACCATTCCCCCATCCCCCGCGGAGGTTGATGTCTTGCTTTCTGTCTGTCTATCTCTCTCAGTCAACTGTATCTCCAGTGAGCACACACGCCCTAGCAAAAATCTCTCTTAAAAAAAAAAAAAGGGGGCCCAGCAGTTACTGTAATGGCTATGTCGCTGGACTCCCACGTAGTCGACTGCGGTTCAAGTCCTGGACCCGGTGGCTTAAACTCACGCCGGGCGCATGTGCATGCGTGCCCAAGATCCCTAGAGGAGAATGGAGGAGAAGGGATTGCGGCGTGGCCATCCCCCCTGGGGGGTGATTTCCTGCTTTCTATCTCTCTGTCTCTGTCTGTCTGGTGAGCGCACACGCCCTATAGCAAAAACCTCTCCAAAAAAAAAAGAAGAATTTGAGTAGTGAATAATGGACATCTTGACATTATTTCTAGCCGAGGATGAGGAAAGTGAATGCTGCTCCCTACTCCCTACTCTGTAGTGCCTTTGTGAATGGGAGTTTGGAGGCTGGGGGCTTTTCCATGACTGGGTCAAACTTGAGAAGGAAGAAATACTCAGTGGAAGAAAAAAAACAAGAGTGCATCTAGAGGAGAAGGGAATGTAACTGGAAAACCATATGCTTGGAGAAGAGGGGCTGCCTTCACAGGCACTGGGTCTCACATGATAGAATCATGGATGGTTGATGCTTGACAATACCTAAGAGCTTCATTTAGATTTATCCCATTAATGTATTGATTTTATAGGTTAAAAACTGTACAGGGCACATAGTTTGTGAGAGCTAGACCCAGCTCTGACAGCTTATTCAGTCCTGGTGCCAAGAGTGAAATCTATGGATTGAAGCAGGGGTAGGAGGAGGAAAGAGGGAGAGAAGCAAATACCTCCCCCTCCCATCTGGCCTCGAGTGCTGCGACTCAATAACAGAGAGGTAGGAGCCCAGCTAGAGACTTGAGGTCCATCCCTCTTCAGAGTTTATAGGCTGACGTTAAACCAGACTCAGGAAGGCAAGAAACAAGACAAATGCTGATCCAAAAAAAATTCTCCACTCTTCTTGCCTTCCATTACACAAAGCAAAACGAAACATTCTAGAAACCACTACTGATTTTCTATGTTCTCGGGGATCTTGACTGCTGAACTTAGAACTCCCACCTTCCTTACCATTCTATATCCAAGTAGATTAAAGCCCCGGGATCTCAAGGAGCTTCCTAGGAATGTCAATGACCACAGCCCAGTAGAACTGGTGAGGAGTCTCCAGATATTGATGGGATCCCGAGTGGCTGGCATGAGACCAAGAAATTACTCCTGAGAATTGGTAAATAATCTCCAGCACTCAGTCTTAACCCAATAGCTCCTTTCTAACTACACCCTGAATGAAGACAAGGACTCTTTCCCAAACACCCATGCTCTGTCTGATTTTCAAGTCATGCCCTCGTGGGTCACTCTCACATTGAAGTGACACAGGTGGGTAGACAAACCCACCTGGGCTGCAAGTTTATAGTTCCTCTGGACGAGCTCGTCGTTGTTTCTGGTCCCGTAAGCAATGGCATTGTGCACCTTGAGCACACAGGCGTGGCCAGGCTTGAAGACAGGCGTGAGGCCCTGCATCACCCTGCTGCGGAAGGCCTTGCGGTGGACTCCCTCTCCAAAGTGCAGCTCCTCGGTGGCAATCTGACCACGCAGATGGCCCCCAAAGTAGCTGTCACTGAGGAAGTCTTCTTGAAAGATGAGCTGGCTGAACTCAATCTCTTCACAACCTGAAATACAGCACAGCTTTGTTGGACAGAATATCCTCCAGTCGTGCTCCCTGGCTAACTTTACAGGAGAGTGTTCCCACCTGAGGACAAGGACAAGGCTGGCCTATAGAACCAAGCAGGGGAAAACAGACCTAACACCCAACAGAGGCAGAGCTAAAAGAAATAGAGATGCAGGCCAGCAGGTGGCGTGGTGGTTAAGGTGCCAGACTCCCACAAGACCTACTGTAGTTTGAGTCCCAGACCTGGTGGCTTGTTTTCTTACTTTCCCTCTTTCTCCTTCACTCTCTCTTTGCCTGTCTCTTTCTAGTCAAATTTAAAATAATAATAATAATAATTAATTTAATTCAAAAAAAGAAAAAAAGAGATGAGTGGGTGGTTTGAAGGAGATGGGCCGCATGTAGGAAGGTCAGTGTGGGGTCCCAGTGGATCCGACCTGAGGGGAGATTTGTGGGAGCAAAACTGGAGAGACCAGATCCGGAAAATAGAAGCAGAACCAGCGGGGTAACTAAAGGCTGAAAAGACAAGCATAGAAGAGGGAGAGAAGGCCAACGGTGTGATCTAACAGCATCATGTCAACCTTTTCTTCATTATTACCCCCTCCAGGAGAATTTTTAGGCATTGTCCCCCTCTAACTGCTCCAAATGATATATATTTTTATTTTTTGAAATTCATGTTAGAGCACACAGACACGCATGAAAGAGAGAGAGAGAGAGAGATAAGATCCCTCTGAGGGCCTAGTTGTGCCATGATCCCCATCCTCCAGTCCTCCAGACTGCCAGATCCTGGGCACTCATGTACGTGCCTGACATGTTCCAAGCCAGGGATTCGAACTACAGTTGCCATGTGGGATTCAGCTTTTCTTGAACATCACATTACCACTGTGCTATGGAGATGGCCACCCATGAGGTTTTTTTTTAATATTTTTAAATTTTATTTATCATTATTATTTACTCTGTTACAGGGCACATGCTCTCACCAGAGAGACAGAGAGAGAACATGGGAAAGCAAGCCCGCAGGCCCAGGACTCAAACTGTAGTCGACTGTGTGGGAGTCCAGGGTCCTAACCACACACCCCCTGCTGGCTCCCCGCCACCCCATGAAATTATAATACTACCGATGTAGCATAAATGTGTGTAGGCACCGTGTGTCCATCTGTGGACACACAGAGAGTAAGACTGTTTTGTCTCTCAAGAGCTAGTTCTGGCCCCCTTGGGGGAAATACTGCCTGCAACAGGAAAGCAGGGATCGATACAAGTAGGCAGGTGGCCAGCCCGCAGCATCGTGGTTAAATGCTATGCTAGACCCCACCAGGGTGACTGTGGTTTGAATCCTGGCCTCCGCAGCTTGAAAAACATACTAGGCCCACGTGTGTGTGTGCCTGTAATTTTAGGATGGGAAAATGGAGGAGACAGCATGGTGGGTGCTCACCCCCATCAGGGTGATTTCTTCCCCTTTTGTCTCTCTTTAGTGAGTACATCACTTTCTAATAAGAAAAGAGGAGAGAGAGGAGAGGAGAGGGGAAAGGAGGAGAGGGGAGGGGAAAGGGAGAGAGGGGAGGAAAAGGGAGGGGAGGGGAAGGGAGGGGGAGGGG